TTTTTTTTATCTATTTTTATTTTACTAACCCGTCTTCTATTTAACACCAACCCGCCACCATGAAACATTCTTTATCTACCGTATTTTAATAGTATGCCCGTCATACGATTGTATGGGACCCAGATATGCGGGTTTCACCCAATTTTAGGTTAATCGTAAATACCAAAGCCTGAGGCATTGTTGTTGCGCCATAATCGCAGATCGTTCACCAATCCGGGACCCGATCGTCGTTTGGGTCACGTTTTAGGTGGTCACGATTTATTCTGCCCATGACAATATGCATAATATACTGTACATTCAACCTTCAACTCAGGAAAGCAAGATCACCAAAAAATGTCGAATGAAACACATCTCTCCGATAAAAAACGACTCCGATTATAACGGAATATGTGTCAAGTAGGATGATCAAAGTATTCTAATTTTTACAGTATAGTTTGCTGCAGAACCCAATCGTTCAAAATAATAATTTGGAGTTAATATTAAATTTTAAAAAAAATCAAAATATTTTAGTTTCAAAAATAGAAAATTGTATTGTTTTCTGAAATACCTTTGCATAAGCGAGTTTTTGTTGGCCCTTTATTGTTGGTTTTTAATTACCTAAAATTATATAACTCTAATCTAAACCCTAACTTAACTATAAAAAAAAAAAAAGCTGACAAAAAAGGTTATAAAAATTTTAGAAATCGTATATAACTGAGCTGAAATCAAATTATATGAAATAATTTTGCAAAAATTTTTATAAAGCTGGCATTAATGGAATTCTTACCGAAACTGTGTACTTCAGCCAACAAAATTAATAAGCTTAAATAAAAAAATTAGTCTCTAATGTTGTCATTTACACAAAGACCATACTAATGTAAAATGCTATTTGGATAAAATAACACGTAAATGTATCAGATGAATTTATTAATAGACTTAATTACACAGGGACATAGAAGCTGGTAAGCTTAACTCAAGAGAATTTAAAAATTTCACATTTTGTATAAATACGAATGACAGAATTAGATTTCATTATGAAAAACAATATAAATAGCCGAAGGGGCTCAGGTTGTCAAACGGATTAAATTCAAAGCCAGTAGTAATGATATATTAGATTTAAAAGCCTTTTTAATAATATAACCTTTGTCAAAAATTTAAAATTTTTGTCTTGTTTAATAATTAGTATTATCTACAGATTAAACCTATTTAGCATCATTATCGGTGTTAAGATGAATCCCTACATTAAATGCTATTCATTCTTATCACAATTTTTTAGGTAGTATTTTCCTAGGCATCTAAGAGCATTATTTTGATGACGCGATTCACTTTTTGAAAGATCAAAATATGCCTAATCCATATTCATAACAACGAGCCAACTCAAATTTAGTGATAGCGAATTTTGTTGATTTAATTCGCTTTTAGAAAGTTCCAAAAAGAGCTTAACTGCCTTTTTTTGATTTTGAACTACCACATTTAGATAGAATTTTGCCAATATAAGTTTTACAGAATTTTGTTGGTCTGAATCGCTTTTTGAGGCTTTTTTAGAGTCTTGGTTCACAACACCTCTTCTTCCCAGAAAAATAAAACCATGTCAAGCATTCTTTAGCTTTAGTAAAATGAGTCTTAGTTTTTGAAAGTTCTAAATAAATATTAAAGACCTTTTTATAATCCTTTTTGACACCCAAATTCATAACAATGAGCCAGCTACATTTTGCTTAATTTTTGTATTCTAATTTTGCTTCATGTTGTTGTGTAATCTTATTCAATATTTTGAGTGCCAATTTATAGTTTTTTTTTTATTATAATAATTATTCAGCTTCATATAGTATTTGATTAGACATATTTGGCCCTTTCTCAAAAAGATTGACTCATTTTTTTACAAATGTCAAAATTTTGTCATTAAATTAATTTATTC